TATATATAATTTACACATACAATATTGCCAAAAGTATTGGGACGCCCCTCCAAATCATTTGATTCGGGTATTCCAATGACCTACATGGCCACAGGTGTATAAAATCAAGCACCTAGGCATGCAGACTGCTTCTACAAACATTTGTGAAAGAATAGGTCACTCCCAGGAGCTCAGTGAATTCCAGCGGGGTACCGTGATAGGTTGCCACCTGTGCAATAGGTCCATCCGTGACATTTCCTTGCTACTAAATATTCCATGGTCACCTGTTAGTGGTATTATAACAAAGTGGAAGCTACTGGGAACAACAGCAACTCAGCCACGAAGTGGTAGGCCACATAAAATGACAGAGCGGGGTTAACACATGCTGAAGCACACAATGCGCAGAAGTCGGCAACTGTCTGCATAGCCAATAGCTACAGACCTCCAAACTTTGTGGCCTCCAGATTGGCAATACAACAGTGTGTAGAGAGCTTCATGGAAGGGGTTTGCATGGCCAAGCAGCTGCATCCAAGCCTTACATCACCAAATGCAATGCAAAGCTTCGAATGCAGTGGTGTAAAGCACGCCGCCACTGGACTCTAGAGAAGTGAAGTGGAGATGTGTTCTCTGGAGTGGCGAATCACGCTTCTGTCTGGCAATCCGATGGACATGTCTGGGTTTGGCGGTTGCCAGGAAAATGGTACTTGCCTGACTGAATTGTGCCAAGTGTAAAGTTTGGTAGAGGGGGGATTATGGTGTGGGGATGTTTTTCAGGGGTTGGGCTTGGCCCTCTAGCTCCAGTGAAGGAAACTCTTAAGGCATCAGCATACCAAGACATTTTGGACAATTTCATGCTCCCAACTTTGTGGGAACAGTTTGGGGATGGCCCCTTCCTGTTCCAACATGACTGAGCACCAGTGCACAAAGCAAGGCCCATAAAGACATGGATGAGCGAGTTTGGGGTGGAGGAACTTGACTGGCCTGCACAGAGTCCAGACCTCAAACCGATACAACACCTTTGGGATGAATCAGAGCATAGACTGCAAGCCAGGCCTTCTCGTCCAACATCAGTACCTGACCTCACAAATGCGCTTCTGGAAGAATGGTCAAACATTCCCATAAACACACTCAAACCTTGTGGACGCCTTCCCAGAAGAGTTGAAGCTGTTATAGCTGCAAAGGGTGGGCCAACTCAATATTGAATCCTACGGACTAAGACTGGGATGCCATTAAAGTTCACGTGCGTGTAAAGGCAGTCGTCCCAATACATTTGGCAATAGTGTGTGTGTGTGTGTGTGTGTGTACACATACACAAATATATACCAGGGGTGTGTAAATTTAAAAAAAACTACTTGTCCAAGGACTAAAGCGGGGGCCAATCTACTTGTCCCTCATGACAATCGACTTGTCCTGATGCAAAAAAAATAATTTTAACCAAAACCGCATTTAGTAGTGCTAAGAAGCACTTCTCATTGGTCAGTGCCGTCAGGTGACCGCGTTGACCAACGAGTGCTTGCAATTTGTAAGCGAAATTCAGAACACATGGCACAGGTACAGATAGTACACCCGTACTGGTGGACGGGAAGGACCGTTCGCCGAAAGGTAGGTATAGTGGGAGGGAGATTTGTGCGAGTAATTCCATTTTCCCAAATTACTTGGGAAAGTGAATATACCCTTTAGGGTGGGTGCAGACTTGGGGATTCCCGGGACGTGCGATCTTGTGCGGTTGCATACAGCGGTTGCATCCGCATGTATGGGGTTACATCTGCGTGGCAATCGCTGAAAAAAAAGGTAGATGTACCTATTTTCACGACATGCACCGTGCAGTGTTTTCAACCGTGATTGTGTGGGATCACCCGGGCGGTATTGCGGTGGGAAACCATACGATCTGCCTGGCGCGACTGGAGTGCCATTAGAAAATAATGGCACTGACAGCACGATCGGCGGTGGTGTGCGATTCCGCGACTACCCAGCCATCCGCTCGGTTTTGCTGCAATACCGCCCTGCCTGTGCTGTTGCACACGACCGCAGTTGAAAACAGCGGGGTTGTTTTTCATTTACTTTCTAAAATGTTTTCATTTGTTTTATTATTTTTACTTCGCCTTTTTATTTGTAAAATTTTTATTTAGTTATTTTTTACTTTTATTTTAACAATTTAAAAAAACAAAAAACTTAACTGTATTGCTTTCACACAGAGGATAACAAATTCCCTGTGTGATAGCATTTGGAGGTGACAGGTACTCTTTATTGACCCTGTAACCTCCAACACAGGAGTTCTAGCACAGCACTGTGCTAGAACTCCTGTGACAGGAACGAGCAGCGGCCGCTGGGACAGAGGCTGAGGGAGGTGACAGAGCCTGTCACAGCACCACCGTCCAGCTCTGTCACTGCGCCATCACTACTCCACGCCCCCTGCTCTCACCGCTCCTCCACCCCCTCCGCTCTCGGCACTCCACGCCCCCCGCTCGCAGAAAACCAGCACTGCTACTTGTCCGTAGCAGGGCTAAAAAAAAGTGGAAAAAAAACACTTGACCGGCGCCCGGAACTACATGTCTAGGGCGTGGGGCGATACGAATTCCACACCTCTGTATACACACACATAAACAACAACTTTCCACTTTGTTGAAGATTCACCAAGGCCAAATACATATTATATTGTGCAAGCTTTGATACTGATTTCTGCAGCAGATAACACAGAGTGTAATTCAGTGTATTTGGATTTACCTGTATACGACACTGATCATACTCCTTCTTAGTAGGTGGCTCCTGTGTTGGGGAAGATGGGGAGAGTGTGGAGGCTTGAACAGGTGTTTCTGCTGGAGGGGAGATTGGATCTGATGTCTCTCCACCATACTGGAAGAAGGAAATTTATAAATTGGAATTATAGATTGTACCTACAATCTGCCTTAATGTTAGTGCTACTGTTATGCAAACACAGGATGTTTTATCTAGAAAAATCACATTTTCTGGTTTTAATGGTCCTTTTTGCCAGAAAATAAATGGTTGTTTGCTCTTTTACACGTTTTTTAGAACTATGAATATAAAAACATTACAAGCCAATATTTAAAGCCCAACTCCAGGCTCTTCCCCCATAACACTCCCTCCTTAGAGGCCTCCCACAGTATTTTGTGTGGTTTTTTTTTATATATAGTTACTTCCTCCAGATGACTCCAAGGGTCCTTTTTGGATTTTCTCCTGGTGATGGATGGCCCTCTAATGCACAAAGGGGTCCCAATGTGATGACACCAGTGCCATTCTTATCATAGCATGCAAGTACAGGTTGCCTGTGGGACAGTCCCTTTAGGGGGCAGCTCCATGACACATTTGGAGAAGTCTTTCAGGTTGAATTTTAGTGGCTGTTATTCAACTTGGAAAGACTGAGGACATCTAGTAGCAGAAAGCGATTACTGCGGGGAACAGTGTAGGAGGAGATAGGAACAGTGTAGGAGGAGGTATTGCTACCACAGCTGCATTTTTATTTTCAGCATCTAGTGGGGGCCTCAATTAAAAAATAAATGCCCCTAGTTGGATGTAAATAAAGCAAAGAATCCGATAAGGTGCTTATGGCCACTTTTAAATCATCCCTAATGTGACTAATTATAACTAAAATGCATTGCCACGACTTGTAATTGTATACAACTAAACAATTGTATAGTTGAATCCAACAGTAGAACAAAGTCAGGACAAAGACATACATTTCATGTATGATTGCATTTTCTTTCAATAGTCTATAATTCTACAGCTGTTCTCAGGCAGAATTTACAACGCAGCTTGTACTCACCTTTCTGGCTCTGTCTGCTTTATCCCTTGCAATTTTATCCCGTACACGCTCTCTGTAAAATGAGACATAAATATAGATATTCTGCAATCCACTATGCTGTAGAACATGGCAGCTGCCAGGGAGTAACATATTCTCCTTACATACATAGAAAACACTTCTAGACATACCTCCCTTGCTCTCACTGATAAAGATGTAAAATACTGGGCCAAATGCGATTTTTCACCTCTAAACCTCCCTCCTAAACGGCTCTACATTTCCTCCAACATTACCTATTAAATGTTTCCAATCCTTATTTCCACTTGAAAGCCCTGCACCTTACCCTTATATCTCACAACCTGGATTTTGAGAGGTAGGGCAATGACACAATTCATGAATTCACTTATCACTAGTATCATCATCCCAAGCCTACAAATTGTCCTCAAGGATGAGAAAGTTATTAGTATAAGTTGAGGAAAGAGTCTTAGCACAAACCTCACAGGTCCTTTAAAAATTACTATTACTTTTTGTACTCAAAAGGTCTTTTATCCTGTGAAGCCAGCACAAATACATACACAAACATGCTGCAATAAACTGCTTACTATACACTTCTACTGGGCATCAGCAGTAACTGTCTTAGATGGGCCTGCACTAACCGTTCAAACCCTGGAGCAAATTGGATCCCACACATCCCCCATCCTAAAAATACTGGGTTGATAAACATTTGCGCAAATACTGTGCTACATACAAAACTTTATTCTGCAGAAAAAATATAATTGTTTAGGAGTTTGAAGCTGTTTTCTAGCCAAAAATTCAGATTTTATCATGTGTGCGCAAATAGTAAGATATTGCTCTGGACAGCAAGTGGTTAAAACAAGATAACACTCCTATTAAGATCTGTATTCAACATCCCCAAACTGGAGCCAGATGGTGCTTCAACAAAGCTGTTAAACAACTTTTTGTTGTGCGATTTCCCGAATTCTACATAGAAAAACTAACCTGGCCAATTTCTCCTCTTGTTTTTCTCGCCTCCTCTCTTCTACAGCTTTCTGCATCTCTTGCTCTTGATGTTTTTGTTTGATTACAGATAACTCTTGTCCGTGTTTCCTCCTCTGTTTCTCCTGCTCAATTCGCTCCCGTTTTTCTCGCTCTTCACGTTCTTGTTGCTTTTGGGCTATGAGTTCCATCATCCTATAGATACAATGCTAAAGATTTATTGGCCATCATACAATGTAGCTACACAGCATTACACAGTACTGGCTTTGGCCATTGACACAACACAGGCTATTCACAGCAAAGTCATAAAGTCAGTCTGGTAACAAGGACTGAGGACTTTTTGTATATGACGGTGCAGGTACTCAGAATGAGTCACATGCTTCACTACATCTAGAACAGGGGTAGGCAACCTTGGCTACAAATCCCATAAGGCATTGCAAGCCTCAGGCATGACTCCCAGAGACAGAAGCCTCTGGGAGTCATGATTTAGAAGAATAAAGTATTTTCTTCACCCCTGGCAGCTAAATAGAGCAGAGGGGGAACAAATGAAAAGTGAATAAATGTGCTGCTGAGGGGAAAGGTAGGGCTACGGAAAACCTGTGGCTTTTCAAAGCATGGAGATAACACAGGTTTGCTTAAAGTAATGTTTGGTCAGTACATGCTACTGGAGAAATAAAATGCACTTTGATGTATCATACCTTTTCATTGCAATGAATGTCTAAAGTAATTTGTAATTTATTGTTCTTTAGGTGTAAGTGTAACTATATTGTTTAAGTACTTTTCTTTTTTTTTTTCTTAATTTCTTTAAAGTTTTTTTTTTGTTGTCAATGTGTAAAGAGCTGCAGTGCACATAACCGACCTACAGACACTAATGCTTCAATACCAGCCACACACCTTTTTGTCTGTTTTTCTCTCTCCTCTTCAGTTAAACCCTGTATTTCTTCTGTAAAGGAAACAAACTGCAATTGGTCAAACAGCCATGATTGTCCCCAGAAGCATATCTCAATACCATTAAGTAGGGATGCACCGATACCAGTGCTGATACTTGGCATTTTCATGAGAACTACCAGGGTTGCAGCTGGGACCTTGCTCTGGCGCTCCATCAATTTCCTGAAATAATTAGTCAATATTGTTTTAGAAAAACTGTCACATGACAACAAAAATGTATCAGTACTTGTATCTGTGAGTACTTGGGCAAGTATCAGTACTTGGAAAAATGGTATTGGTGCATCCCTTATATATATTTATAAAAACAAAATCATACATTAAAACAGAGATGTACAAATCCCAGGAGCTTCGTGTGTTCCTTACACATGACAGCTGCCTCCTAACTTTAGAATTTTTCTCTAGTCTAGTCTTGGAGCTCGAAAAGTATCTGTACTTGTACCGAGTACGGTCAGTGCATCCATACAATTAAGGTTATTGCGTTCTGGATATAGAGGAAACAATTAGAACCCTTGTTAAGTTTGTATTGCTGTATGAATCTCCACCAGGAAAATTCACCATTTTTTTTGTCCTGGTGACCATTGTCATCTAGGCAGAAAGTGATGGAAAATCCAAAATTTTAGAGTAGTCACTAGAACAAGTGGAGGGAATAAATCTTCCAATGGGGACTGCACTGTATAGGCTTTTCCTCTCTCTTCCTGTAAATTTTTTCAACACAGGAAGTGAAGGGAAATCTCCTCAATAAGACATAAACTTAAAGTAGCACTAAAGCAAAAACTTTATTTTTTCCATTTTGCATACTTTTTTTTTAATCATCTGTGTCCCATTGGTGACACATCCTGTCCCATAGAAACAGAAATCCTCCATAGTGATGTCACCAGAACTAGTATCTCCATTGGAAGATTTCCACTCTATTCCTGTTCTGGTGGCAGGTCAAAATTTGGGATTTTCTTTTACTCTCAGTAGTAACTATCGACAGGACAAAATAGAGATGTTTACTCCCCCCTAGTGAAGACAAACATTAAAAACCGGACAGGGTTCTAATCCCTCTCTGCGCTATCCAAAAAATACAAAGATACGTTTTTGGTTATACATACACTTTAAAGACAACGGAAGAATCAGAATAAGCTGTGGTTTACTACAAGGCAACATTTTGGTATGCAGAATTGGATATAGCTATGCCACACTATACAGTGTTCTGGTCTGGAGTCTGGACATGTGCTCATCTATTTTCCCCACTAGGGGGATACAAGCCTTAGTTAGCAATATCTACATAGTTATTTCTTTATTTAATGTATTTTAAAAAAAATATTATATGTAGTTAAACAGCATTTTTGTGCCCAGCCCCCATATGGTGCTGCAGTACTAACCTGCTGTGTCGTTTTCTACGTCTGCTTCAGCCACTCTGTGTCACAGCCTAGTCATCTGCTCCATTCTGACATCAAGAATGACTGGTGAGGAAGCCTGTCAATCATCCAATCGGCCAATCAGCGGGAGAAGAGGTCAGAATGGAGCAGATGACTGAGGACTTTGAGGAGGAGTTCGCGGCCATCTTGTTTCATTGAAGATGCTATGGAGGTCCTGTGTGTGGCGGTTTTGGGTACAAGTACTCATGCAAATACTCGGTATCGAGTATCGGTATATTTTACACACACATTATATATATATCTATCTATAGAGAGAGGTGTGTGTGTGTGTGTGTGTGTGTGTGTGTGTGTGTGTGTGTGATATATATATATATACACACATACAATGTCCAATGGTGGGCACAGGACTCAAATTAGAGTAAACACTGTCTGGGTGCACCCAAGGCAATTACATATAAACGGTCCAGTTGAGGAGGCACTCATGGTACTCATGGTACTTGTAGTAAGGCAACACAGATGCATTTATTGGTCGACGTTTAGACAGGGCACTGTATATGTATATACACACACACACACACACTGTGTATGTATGTGAATTGGTTTATTAAAGGATTTGTAATTCTTTTCAGCCACTATTTTTGTTCAAAAACCTATGCTACTTAGCACAGCTATGAACATGACTTTCCTATAGTTTCCTCACCTGCCTGCTGAATGGACAGAGAAATAGCAGGTGTTGATTCATTGTGCAATAAGTAGGCAGTAAATGGAGAGGTGATCAGCAAAGCTGAACCAGGTAGGGGTATCTGCTGGCTGCCTATTACATTGCCAAACTGAAACTGGCTATTCAGTTTGGCAGTGTATGAATCACAAGACTGGCTGAACAGGATTACAAATATTTTGCAGGTAAAACTTAGTTGATTGGCTGGAGTGCTCTTAAAATAACTGCTTCAGGTAATATGTACACTTCAAGGTAATTCATTGGGAAAACCAGACCTGAGTCCATGTCCATTTCTTGTGGAACATCTTCGCTTTGTGTTTCTTGTGATACGGGTTCAATAGTTTCAATAGTTTCATCTATGTCAGGATCATCTTCATGTTCCATCAGCCTGAAACAATCACAATGAAATGGCAGCAAGTCCAGATATCTCAGATCGAATTATAAAAATGCTCACCGCCTCACCTCTCCCTCGTTACTTGTTCTACACCGGTGTGCTACCAAACAGCCACACAGATGCGATGCACACTTCACATTTTCAAAGATTATTACAACAAAATATGTACAGACATAGTTGATCCAACTCACCAGTCCATTGCAGACTCTATACCTTGGTTGCCTGTGGCAGCCACGGCCTTTTCCCTGTATAAAAGAAAAAACAAAACTTACTGTGCTAAAAACAAATCCAACAACAACAACAATTAAAACCTAATTCCAAAAAAGAAGGCTCAATCTTGGGTGGAAACCAATAGCACAATAACTGTATTGAGCTATAAAGAGGAATTCCGGGCAAACAAAAAATCTGCACTGCAAGGGTTAACTGCTCGTTTTGTCTAGGGGACTTAAATAAAGCTGCATTACTGACTTAATCCTCGGTCCTGCTGGCTTCCTCTGAGCTGCTAGACCAGTCTCCGCAGCCCCTTCTCCCCTGGGTTCCAGTGTTCTAACAGCCGCAGACGTCATCACGTCTAATGCAGCTCCGCTGACCTGTATTAGATGTAAGGACATCGAGGGACATTTCACATCCAGAGAGGAGGGGGAGAGGGTAATGCTCACCGCTGCCGAACTCTTGGAGGGCACAGCATTGTGGTACCCCATGTTTCAGTGCTGGCATGCGGCGCGTTTGGGGTGTCACAGAAATGAGTGGCACTGCACCACACCTCACGTACCAGAATTTGTCAGGCCAAAACCAAAAATGACCTTTTTTTCCAAATTGGGGGTAGGGTGGCTTTATTTTTATCTGTTTTACTATTTTTTTTATTATTATTTTTTTAACTTTACTGTTAGGGGTGTTGGGGAGATATCGGGTCTAAACAGACACCCCTGATAGTCTTTTCTTACTTCAAAAGGTAAATGAGGAAACAAAGTCCTTAATCTCTTTTTCTGCAACCCCAGCACTCAATGAACAGCAAGCACTCTGTACAGAGGCTTCCTGTTCATTCATAAAAATCGAGGAGATCGTAAACAGATACTATGCCCACAATCATGAATGAACAGGAAGTGATGTAGAGTACTTCCTGTTCATTCATTATTGCGACACAGTATATGAATACTATGTCCTCAATTATTTAGAAACATCGTAGTGATCAGCACTGATCACTGCGATGTTGGAATATTACAGGAATGATCAGCAAATATGTGAAATATTTGCTGATCGTCCCGCAGCTCTCCTCCCTGCACCGCCCCTCTCAGCTTCCTCACAGTATTCTCCTCCCCGCTGGGCGCTGGCAGGTGGATTGGCTGTGTCCCCTCCCATTATTATACAGGATTTATATAGCGCCAACAGTTTGCGCAGTGCTTTACAATATAAGGAACACATTACAATCACAATACAATTCAAGACTAGATGGCAAGGAGGGCCCTGCCCGTGAGGGCTTACAATCTAAAAGGGAGGGCAAGTGATCCATGAGGCGGTAGCTGTGTGGGGATGAATTGTTTGAGAAAGTGATGGTTCAATGGTTAGGTTGAGGTGGAATAGGCGTCCCTAGAGATATAGATGATAGAATAGAGATGAGTCTTAAGGGATCGCCTAAAGGCAGTCAGAAACAGGCGGGGGAGAGCAGCAGGGAGCAGAGGGGACACAGACTGTAGCTTGCAATGGGCTACCAGCAGGAAGGAGAAAGCTGCAGAGCTGATGCGGCAAGGGGGGAGGGGTTTGGTGGAACTCTCCTCACCGATAGGCACTGGCTGCAGGGATCTGTGTCCCCTCCGATCCCTGCTGGGAGCAGCAGGGATCAGAGAGGAAACAGAGCCGATGAAACACCGGCTCCCAGCACGGAGGAGATAACTAGGGGACTCAGACCAACTAATCCATAATAAGAATTAGGGATGTCCTGATACTAGTAGCAGTATTGGGGCAGGTACAGGGCATTTTCACAAGTACTTGTACTCATGAAAATTCCCCCAATATTGGAGGCCAATACTGGCCCTTTAAATGTTTTTATCGGATCAGCCGATTCGGGTCCCACAATTGTGGGATCCGGAGCCAGCCTTCCAGGAGACCTGGCAGTAGCCGTCTTTGACACTGCCTGCCAGGTCCCACATGCCCCCCTCCTCCCCCTTCCTGGCGCAGGCACTGCCCGAGGCAGTCCCACACTGTGAATACAGTCTCGGAGCCGGCACGAGACCTGCACTTGCTCTGTTTCGGCACTCACTCAGCACAGCACCTGTCAGAGCCATTTGGAGACCCATGTAATCATTGTACAGCGCAATGCAGAATACCGCTCGCAATATAGGACTACAAATCCCAGCAATAGTACATTATACAGCGCAACGCAGAACAACACCAGCTACAGAGGGCTACAAATCCCAGCAATAATACATTATAGTATAATGTATTATTGCTGCAATTTGCTGTATTCCTCTATAGCTGCTGGTATTCTGCATTGCGCCGTATAATCATTATACAGCACACTGCAGAATACCACCAGCTAGAGGACTACAAGTCCCAGCAATAGTACATTATACAGCACACTGCAGAATACCACCAGCTAGAGGACTACAAATCCCAGCAATAGTACATTATATAGCGCATCGCAGAACAACACGAGCTACAGAGGGCTAACAAATCCCAGCAATAGAACATTGTAAATAAGAGATGGATGACGTACGCTCTGGACGGGGAGAATCCCATCTCTACGAGGCTCTCCAGCGTTGAAGACTGCGACATTTCTGGAAAAAAGGAATATAAACATACATGTGAACCATTGTTCAGTGAAAGGATCATTTCCTGCACAAATGGAATCTTAGTACTTTAACATGTCATGCCTTTTACAGCTCATCTTGGCTGATGGGTTACTATTAACTCAGTCTGTGGGATGACAAATGTTAACATACGATTTATAGAATAGATCTCACACACAAAAGAATCTCCACACATCGGTGAACGATAATGTCACCAATAAGAAGAGACACGACCATAAGGCCATACATGTACGTTTCCATTAACCGGCCAGTGTGGAGGCAACACAATACATTGTGAGCCCGGTCTATGGCAACATGTGTGCTCCCCGCTCCATGCATCAATACATAGTCCCCGCGCCCACATCGTTACACATTTCTTTACAATAACCACACATATCTATATGAAATTAGAACGAAATAAGTGCTAGTGACGTCACGTGGCTTCACTCACCGTCGGCGCTTGTGAACCACGTGACAAAGCACACTGGGAGGGGCGGGGTTGAGCACTTCCAGGTTACGGAAGCCGAGAGGGCACAAGCTCGCATTGTATTGCGTACTACGTAATGTGACGTTGTGTTTGGGGTGTGTCCGTCGGTATTTGAAATTGTGCTATACGTTCTGCTTTGATTCTGTTGCAGTGTTTTTTAGTATATAGAAAAGGGAATAGAAGATGTTGTCAGCATTGAAATATGGTTTCTATGCAGATGTGCTGAGTAAATATAAGGCTGACCGTGCATGTTACAATCTGATTGTACAATGCATTATAGATTACCCACAGATTTGTGAGGGCCTATCTGAGTGGATAAGTGTTGAAGGGTTTAGGACCTATTCACACTGGTGTGATGCGTTATCGCATAGTTGCATGTGATTAACGCACTGTGCCATGCAATGAACTTACTGTGAGTTGAATGGCACACTAAATGCACCTCTCGCCTGCAGTGCAATCGATCACTCCACAAAGCGCAGTACAACAATTCCATGTGCTGTGATTTTAAAAAGTGCATGCACACACTACTTGTTTTTATTCACAACGCACGGTATTGTGCTACTGCACGTTGCAGGGGGGATCGATCGCATTGTGGGCAGAAGGTGCGTTTGGGGTGCCGCTCAAATGAATGGCAATGCAATGCACCTCCCACACTTTTAACACACAGTAGGTGTGGTACAGTGCATGTATTTGCGCCGAACCATGCTACAAACACATCGCAATAGTGTGAATGGGCCCTTGGTTCTCGCAATACATAGTTTTCCTAAGGGCCTATTCACACCTAAGGCCTGGTTCACACTTGGACGTTTTGTAGCGCGTTTGAACGCTCTGCAAAATGCTCAAACACCGAAATCCCATTATTTCCTATGGGTATGGTTCACACCTGGCGTATAACAGACCGTATGAACGTGCTACAAAATGCCCTACGCCCAAAGAAGTACAGGAGTTTCTTTGGGGCGTTTTTGTCGCATATTTGATACACCCAGGTGTGAACCCAGTGTAAAGGTGCCCATACACCTGCCGATTATCGTACAAGAATAGTGGGAAATCCCGGGATCGTATCCCAGGTGTATGGAAGGCGTGCAACCGTTTCTACTGTATGGTCTTTTGTCTTACGAGCAGGCTCGAAAACCCGCCGAGAATCGTACGATTGTCGGCGGGTTTGTGGCCTGCTCGTAAGACAAATGTCTCACGGGTCGGTGTGCACAAGCACACCCTGCCGGTTCAGCATTGCAGTCATCGGAAGCCCGCCCCTCAGCGGTCCAAGATGTGCAGATCGTACGTTTTTTAAATTTCCTTACAAAAGTCTTGCGATGGTTGTAAGGTGTATGGCCAGCTTAAGTGTAGTGTCAATTGCACAGTACTGCACGCTATTGCACAATGCACCTCACGTGTGTTGTGTTGCCATTTATTTGACTGGCACCCCCAATGCACCTCCTAGACGCTGTGCGCTGTAGCATGGTATCATGCGACTAGTGCTATGCTTATAATAGCAGAAAGTTTCCCAGCACACTCACCAGCCAGCATGCAAAATGCTATGCTTAGGTGTGAACGGGCCCTTTATCTTAAAAAAGATTGGACAGATATTGCACAGATTGAAGCACGTATATGGCATATGGTTTATGGTATATGGTCGGTATATGGCAGCAAAATCCCCAGCATGTGCAGAAGTGACCTGCTTATGAATTCAGTTTTATGAAATATTTATTTTAGCAAATGGTGTGACAACCATATTGATATGTCAGATATCCTAGAAATGTTTTATTCATTGGTGTCATTGTAGTTGGTTTTTCTCTGGTTTGTGACCCTGACATTCAGACTGATTTTAGATGTTTTCAACTATACCTTAAATGGCCTGTGGTGTAGTAGCTTTTGTGACTATTCTATTTGATGATGTTTAATGTAGCTCCACAAAGGCTGCATATATACCAAAATATATATCACACAGCTGAGAGTTGTTTATATTTAACTCATGTGTTGATGCCTGTTGTTATGTTTGCCTTATTGCATGACTCATTATGTAAACATTGTGTGATTATTATTTTTCTCTTTTACAGGATTTTAGTGGTATTCCTTCCTTAAAAGGGTTTGTGAGATGAATCTTGATGCCTCTTATTATACAGTTGGTAAGCACTCTATAAACACATGTTCTTTCTAACATACGAGCAGTTGTGGCTTCAAGGGATTTTACACCTAAAATGAAAAAGGCTTCCCCCCCAATCCCTGACTACAGTACCAATGGAGTGCCCCTCCTCATTCCTCACAGTTGGCTACTTATGCAAACTTAGACTGTCTCTGCATTCAGATATAGTAATGCTGAAAGGACACCATTCAGGAGAGTCATTCTGGGGTATAATATTATTACCTAAATCTGAACTGCCAATGCAACACACATAGCATTAGGCTAAATAGAGATTTTTTAAAGGGTATATTTTCATATTTAGTGGGTGTCATTACCATTTGTTCACTTTTAATGTGGCTCCAAGCTGAAAAATGTCAATGAGCCTCTTCTCCGGGTGCCCACTGTGCTGCCTGGGGGATGTTGACACTTCCCATTGGGTAGTGGGGTAATAGTTTCAGGTTTTACAAAACCGCAGCAGGAAGATGTCACCACAAGGGGATAGATTGGCATGGGCACAGAGCAGTAACTCCATTACAGTAAGACTTGTGAAGATTGTATGTTAACTATTGTGGCAGTGTGTGGCAATGCCATGGTGTAATGTGGCATCATAGCCACCCAGGACTCTCAGCCAGAGGGTCATAGGGGTTCCAGGAAGTAAGTACTTTTACAGGGAAAGAGCTGGCTTTGCAGTTCTTTCCAGGTTTTCTACATTTGGCATGGGATCCTGGAACCAGGAGATTTCAAAGAGAATTGGGAGGAATTAAATCTCTAAATCTCTATTCTTGTGTCTATGGTTTAGTACCTTGGTTCTCAACTGGTGGGTTGTGACCCAAAAGTGGGTCGCAACCCCATGTCCAGTGGGTCGCCACATGCCTTCCACTTTTCTAGGTGAGAGACTCCTCAGCCTCCCCCTAGTGCAGCACCGCCAGTTCTCGTGCTGAGCAGCCATTCAAAATATGCTGCCCAGCTCTGCATGTAAGCTTAAAGGAGAACTATGGGGTCAGTGTTTTTCCCCATAGTTCTCCTTGGGGTAACGGGAGGACACCAACTAGCGTCCTCCCGTTACCCTAAGCTCAGTATACCGCGAGCTACAGCTCGCGGTATACTGAGACGCCGCACCTGGAGCGGATCCCGACTTAGATGACGGGATCCGCCCAGCTGCGTGAGTGACAGCTGGCTCTGCCTATCTAGAGGCAGAGCCAGCTGTACCAGCCCCCTCCCCCGTCCGTTCCGCCAGTCAGCGCTGGCAGATCGGAGCGGGGAGAGGGGAATCCAGCCCCTCCCCCTGTCACGGCAGAGAGCCGTGACAGGATCGAGAGGTGAGGGAACCCGGTATGTGTTCTCTCACCTCCCGATCTACTGAGCCGACCTGTGACAGTCTCATTGTCACAGGTCGGCTTAGAACTATGAGGTGAGTGGAAATCACTCATGTCATAGTTCTCCTTTAAGGGGAGGTGGGGTGGGCTGGAAGTGTAGCCATAAGGGAGCTCCATCCTTATGTGCATTGCTTACAGCTCTCACATGTGCCATGTAGAGAAGCATTGACTGGACTGACATCACATTCTGGCTCCTGGTACCTCTGCAGAGTACACAAGTGAGTTGTACAAGCCATGCACACATGGATGGAGCTCCAGCACAGCAGCCCACACTGAACCCCAGGCTGAGGATTCACTCCAGTTCAGTAGGGAGACTGAGACTGTGGGTGGATCTTAATAAAAAGAAAAGAAAATTATAATTTTTTTTTGGAGTGTGTGTGTATGTCTGAGTGTATGACATTGTGTCTATCAGTGTTTTTGAGGGTCCGTTCATACTAGAACAGTGCGTTAATCACACAGCCCCATGCGATTAATCACGTACCACGCAATCACACCTATCGCCTGTTATGGTGTGGAAGATGTGTTCCATTGGCATTAATTTGAATGACACCCCAAACGCATCTTCCACCCACAGTCTGATCGCCTGCACCAGAACGCATGGTACTGCAATGCGGTGCATTCCATTGCAGTGAGACTTGGGTGATGACTTAATGACCAAGGACAAATGTGGGTCCTGAGGTTACACAGGTTGGGAACCACTGGTTTAGTAGTTGCAAGCACCTAATGATTGCATACCTCTGCACAGCCCTTATGGAAAGGGTGCTGGCTAATGTTCAGGGCTCCTGCTGGGATGAGGAAGAGAGTGTGTTCAGGAGTCAGGAGGATTCCACCCAGAAGTCAGAGTGGAGCCAGGTGGCTGTTTGTGTGTTGGAGGCACATGGGAGACAGCCAGGGAAGGCTTAGAGAGCCAGTGACACACAAGGGAGGCTTGTAAGAGTCACAGGAGAGGTGTCAAGAGCCATTGAGAGCCGTTAAACAGTATAGAGCACTGCTGTGGCCAGTGGCTTTGTTGAGGAAAACCCTAAAGTCTTGGGACTTGGATGCATGGAATGTATGCACCAACCTTGAGTCGGTGAGACATTGTAATACTGTATATTTTGTTTGCTGACCGACAAGCGGACCTTATGTTGTATTACTGAGGAAAGCTGTTTTCTGTTATGGAAAAAATAAAAGGCTGTCCTTTTTATGTTAAAACGGCTTTGAGTCTGGTCCTTAAGCGCTCAACGTTATGCTAAATTCCCCAAACATCACATTATGTTCAGCTATAGGTCAGTATAGCAAAAGTCCCCTAGCATCACAGATGTGTTTTTCAGTGCTGCACCTAGAATATTTACGACTTGGCCATTTTTGAAAGGGCATCATTAGGAGTCCCTTGAATACCCTGTGCTAAGTACTGTTGATATTGTTGCATTCTATCTAACTTCTACCAATTTGTGATTTTGAGGAAAATGAGGGTTGCGCTGTGTTCAGTATGTTCCCCATTCTCTCCACACAGTCTGGAGCTTGTTAAGCCTCACTAATGTTATAAGATTGGGGTATGGGCTTTAATATCTTTCCAAGTTTTATTTTGTA